CTAGTCAAAGATAACCAAGATAAATGAACTGGTGGTCAGGCTCAAAAATGCAGCACATTGAATTATCAGTGTCACACAACCTAAGTAGTGTATCTTAATGTGTAAAATATTCTTTTACTTCCAACATGGACACACAATATACGTTGGTAGTACAGTGCTGAGCAGAGCCGCCTTCCGTTTTGGACACCTACCTCTAGGCAATTTGCCTAGTTATAATTTTGAGACAGGATAAAAATATGTGAAAAAGGCAGGGCAAAGAAGTGTTTCAGTGATTTATTCACAGAGATTATGGATACAGCAATGAATACAGTGTTTGAATGTACTAAGAGATGATGTACAAATACATTTCTAATTGGCTACTGAGTAACACACTGGTCGAATGATGAAGTTTCCTATATTGACTGAAGGAAAAATGGCGGCTACATGCTTTCTTACCCACATGAGGCTGCCTTGTACCGACTCAGAAGAGGACCTGTTAGATATAAGCCTGGTCCACACCACTTTAGGGAGCCTTTCTTAGTGCTGGATCTAAAACATGCGGCTGTTCTAGATGGCTTCCAGTCAATGTATGGGAACCCATGGCCCATGAAGAATCGGTATCTCCATGTAGTCCTTGTAGTTGCCAACTCCTCTGAAGAGGGTCCTGGGTATGGGGAAACACAAGGTCTTTGCACTGGAGACCAAGGTTAAGCACCCATTTCAGGAGTGGGAGACAAACTTCAGAGTAACATTTTAGAGCCATTTGGAAACACGATCAATGAAAAAATAAACAGAGAATGAGGAGAACCAAGTGTTAGAAATTGATACTTGTGGATGCGTTTCAGTTTTTGTTTTGTTTTTGTGGTACTGAGGATGGAGGCCAGGCATGCTCTCCCACTGAACTACATCTCCTGCACTTTTTAGTTTTTATTTATAGGCTAGATCTTGCTCTAGGCTCAAACTTGTAATCTGCCTGCTTCAGCCTCCCTGGTACTGGGATTACAAAGGTAAACCATCACTCTTGTATTCTAGTTTATTTGTATTAGTTCACAGATACAATGCGGTCTGAGATGGTCAAGAATGCTAAGAGAATAAAAGTCATATATCCTCCAATTTTAATTATAAAGCGAACAAACTTTAGCGTCAAAGTTAACATGTATTAGAAGAATAAATCTGAGATGAAGATGAGTTTATTACACGTTTGCAGTGCAGTGTGTACGTATGTGCCCATTAGACTACTACTGCATATTTGCATCTTGGAAATGAGGGATCATCGGGGCAGATAAAAATCATTAAAGTGAGTGAGATAATTCAGGATGCCTTAATAAAATAGCAGAATTTGCCAAACTACTGAAATAACTATTGTGGGTAGTTAACGTGGCCCGCATTTAAAGGAGCACCTTCCAGAGTTCTGTCATTCAGTTTATAATTTAGTTCTAGGCTGTGAGTCGATACAGAGCACAACAGTGTCTTCTAGGAGTGTGCATTGCAAATAGCTGTGGTGACGCTATGAAAATTCCTTCAAGATGTTAAAAATATTCTTCTAACGTTTTCCAGACATCAGCCGTTTCTTCTGATACTCTGATCAAGCAACAACTATGTCCTAGTGAGCCTCAACTTTTCATATATAAAGTGAATAATAATGATGGTACCTACACTGTAGGCCACCGGGCTATCCTGAAAATCAACCGGACCCCTGACATTAAAGTGTGTTTGTCCCTTGAGCACTTTTCGTATGCAGTACGTTGTCACTACAGTTAGTGGTATTTGTAACTCCATTGTATGTTTTCAGTTTTCATATCGCCTCCAAAAAAGAAGTTTATTGCCTCTAACAATAATGCTGAATGCTATCACTAATGAATCATTGGTGCAATTCTTTGTTACAACAGCCCGAGTTCTCTGAAGCTGGAGACTCAGCTTTTCTCTCTGTACCTCATTGCGCATCACAGTGCTGAGCATTTAGTAGGACATCAGTTAGAATTTTTTGGATGAGTAAATAAATGACAGGGATGAATAGATAGATATAGATTTAAACCATATTGGAGTATTATATAATGATCTTGGTTTCCGATGCTTTAAATTTGTCTAGGTAACTACTAAATCTCTAGGCTTTATAATAAGCTGTGTAAACTCTATTAGGGCAGATGTATTGACTAGACACTATTCATAACATAATGAATCAACTTTAAACATAACTATTTATTAACAAAGGGAATAAATGAAAAGTGACAGCTATAGAACTCAGTACATAGCTATTACAATCTACCATATTACTTTAAATAAAAAATAACTACTTTCTTTTAAAAATGTCCCACTACATCTAAAAATCAAACATCTCTGTTATTACAGTTTCATTTATTCACATCTCTTTTCATCTCACTCCTACAAAGCTCCTTGTTCTTGAGCATCTTAATCATCTTCCTTTTTACTGGTGTTTGCTTACAATCAGATAAACACAGTTCTTGTCATCTTTGAACTAAGAAGACTAAGAAAATTCCAAGTCTCCCTTAATATTGTTTCTCCACTGACTATATAATATGCCCCATCTTTCAATCTAGCTTAACTTCTTCAAATGGTTGTCTTCATTTGCCGTCTTCATTTCTTGAATTCCCGATTACTGGGTCTCACCACTGCCCCCACCTCCAGTCCCAGTACTGCTCTCTAAGGCCCTAGAGGAGGCCACACACTGCTTAGGTGACCTCTTGTCACCTTGACAAATGCCTACTTACTTTTAAATATGGCTTATTCTCCACTTCTCCATTATTAAGAGCACTTCCAGATGCATAAGGAAAAAGGCAAACATGTCTATGTTCAGAAATATTTTTATATTTATGTAAATTATTTTAGCAATACACTTTAAATATCTGTGCATTTATCTATATTATATTTTTAATTTCAAATGAAGGAAGTGATAAGTTTTAACATCTGGTTTATTGCATTAGCAAAGTTAAAAATAATTGGTAATTGAAAGTGTCTACTTATTCAACTTTTTCTGAGTGCCAGGGTACATATAAAAGTTTTAACTTTTATAAATATATATTATTAATAAAAAGTTAAAGAATTATATGTTAAAAGTCCTTTGATTATCTGTAAATGGTGGAACTATGGGTGATTTTTACTTTAGTCTTTTGTACTTCTAATCTTTCAATGAGCACTCATTTCATTGTGTAATAGAAACAGCTCTTTAGATGCATATATTGGGTACATGAAGGGTCCATCTTCTAACACCATGTAGAAGGGGCTCCTTCGTGCTGTAAGGTGGGGTAGAAAGGAGGTGTTCACTTATGAACCAAACCGGTTTCTATTATTAACATAATTACTTTATTCTATGGTGTTGCTGGCATATAAAAACACTTTCATCTTTATATGTCTTTTTTCTTATTAAGTTCATTAGTACTATTTAATGTACATAGTGATCACATACGGAATTTGTACCTATACATATCTTATCCCTCTTTAACAGTACCTGTTCCATCAGAACTAGGTTTTTCAGTCTGTTTTCTTTTTATTTGTTCATTTTTCACATTGATATTTAGCAATTAATTCCCTCATTCTGTATGCTCTACTTAGGAACAAATCCAATTTACTAAAGAACCAAAACTTTTCTACTCATATTTTCGTTTATGTAAAAAGATTTTCTGGTGCTTACATTGGCAGTCCATACATTAAAATCAGGACAATATGGAAAAGATAACTGTGGCCTTTGTGCAAGGATGATGCACAAACCCATGAAGGTTTCATATTTTTATGAAATAAATCAAACACCCAAGCTTAAATATTGCCTGGTTTCTCTTATATGAGAAAAACATATGTATATATACAAAAATAAAGAGCAAAATAGTAGATAAATAGAAAGTAGGGTAAAGTTCAGATAATTCCCCAAATTACCTATTCTGTTGTTTCAAAAGTATTTGTATACTTATGCTAATTTGCTTCATTTAAACTACTACTTTCTCTTATTTCATTGAAAAGAAAGTTTTGTGCTATTATCTGTTCATTTCTTCTTCTTTCTTCTTTCTGCTTTCTTCAAGAGAATCTCTCTTGCCTATGTGTTATAATCTGAGTACTTTGAAGATCATAATACACAGTGTATGAACTATGGTTATTCTCTCATTATTTTCCTATGAAATTTTTCAGGAAAAAATATTTTTCTCCATCACATTGATACTCCTTATACTCCTTTTCACTTTCTTTTTCTTTTTTGTCCAAATACTGGGGGTGAAACTCAGAATGTTGCACTTGTGAGGCACTCATGGTGTCAGAGTTAAATCTCCAGCCCTACTCCCTTTCTTTTTTTAACTTTTTTCTGCCCATCTCATTTCTTTACCTTACATACCCATCCCTGAAATGATTTATTACTCTTAAGAAGCAATAGTTTCACATGAAGTTTCCACATGGTTTGAGATCTTAGCTCTGATAAGCACTGTCTATGGACCTTTGGGAAAGCTACTCAATCTATCCAAGGTTGAGATTCCTATACTTTAATTTGTATATCTGTATCTACCTCAAAAAGTTATCAGGATTAAATGAAATGCTATAGCCAGTTACACAGAACAAAGCCCATGAGCCGGGGATTTGGCTCAGTGGTTCCACTGCCTGCCTCACATAGAATGACCAGCACATGGTAATCACAATGAAAGTGGAAGCTATCATCCATTTTATTGTGATTTTCTGTTGAGTCATTTCCTTACCTCACTACATCAAGGAAACACTATTTGCATTAATCACAATAACTCTTGGGAGCAATAATGGAGTCATTCCATTACTTCAAGCCACAGGAACAGGGGCCGGGAATTTAGCTCAGTGGTTCTGTCACCTGCCTCGCAAGCACAAGGGCCAGATTTTGATCCCTGGAAACCACCCCAAAATAATAAAATAAACAAGCCAGAGGTAGAGAACCTCACTTAGAGACTACTTCCCTGTGAGCACCCTCCGCAGGGCACCCTGCACATCGGGGTTCCTCACACCCACCCCAAAATAATAAAATAAACCAGCCAGAGGTAGAGAACCTCACTTAGAGACTACTTCCCTGTGAGCAGCCTCCGCAGGGCACCCTGCACATCGGGGTTCCTCAGGCTGTAGATGAGTGGGTTCAGCATGGGGCTGATGACTGTGTTGAAGATGCCAATGCCCTTGTCCTTGTCTGAAGCCTCCACTGAACCCAGCCTCATGTAGCTGAAGACACCTGTTCCAAAGAAGATGCTCACCACAGTGAGGTGGGAGCTGCATGTGGAGAAGGCCTTCTTCCTTCCCTCAGCAGAGCCGATTCTCAAAACAGCAGCAACCACATGGGCGTAGGATATGGTGATGAGGACCAGTGGAGCCACACCCATAAAGGCTGCTGCTATAGAGAGCAACTGTTCATTCAGTTGGGTGCTGGAGCAAGAGAGCTTGAAGAGCTGAGGGAGGTCACAGTAGAAGTGATTGATCACATTGGCACCACAGAACTTCAGGGTAGACAAGGCCACACTTTGAGTCAGTGCATTGGTGAAGGAAAAGACACATGACATGCCCACAGAAGCTTTCTGGATTCCCGGGGCCATGCGGGTGCTGTAGGTGAGGGGCTGGCAGATGGCCAGGTAGCGGTCATAGGCCATGACGGTCAGCAGGAAGCAGTCTGCCCCAGCCAGGAGGTGGAAGAAGAAGAGCTGTGAGAGGCAGGCGCCATAGGGAACGCTTCTGTCACTGGACAGGAATTGCCTCAACATGGCGGGGACAGTGACAGTGATGCACCCAACATCCAGCAGGGACAAGTTCCCCAGGAAGAAGTACATGGGGGTGTGGAGTTTGGGTTCCATGAGGACGGCAGCAAGGATGCCGAAATTGCCACCGACAGTGGCTACATAAGCAAGAAGGAAGATGACAAAGAGGGTGGGCTGGAGGACTGGAGAATCTGTTAGGCCCAGCAGGACAAACTTAGTCACAGATGACTCATTTCCTGAGGTAAGCAATTCCATAGCAATCTGCCACCAGCAGGAGACGGAGCAATGTTCAAAGGTGTCAGTGTGGGCTGAAGGTGAAGGGGCTTTGATAGCAACCACCAAGTGTAGCAATATCAGAAAAGGCCAGAATGTTAGGAGGTATACAAATTAAGGGGAAGAAAGTTAAATATTGAGGAATAATAGGAAAAGACTTCACAAATCTGATTCAGTGAGTAAGAGAGGGGCAGTGGAGAGACTCACAGGAGGGAAAACTTGATAAAAAAAATTCTTGAATTTTGCCCCGCAAATGGAAACAAATGTGACATTTGAAGGTTAGGGGGGAAAAGATATCCTTAAGCCATAGTACCAGGAAGGGAACTGCAAGTCTTCATACGATGGCATGGCCTTAATCTGGATACACAATATACCAGTATATGAAAGTTAAGCTTCAGAAGCAGAAAGAGGCATAGTCTCCTTTGGCATGGTTCCTAAGACCTCACAGTCTCCAGATACAGTTGGCATCATAAAGTCATTTACAGTTACCCTCCATGGGTTTGATCTAGAAACCTTCAGATACAGAACCTGCAGATGCTCAAATCCTGTATGTAGAATGGCATAGTATATCCATTAACCTGGGCACCACCCTCCATATACTTAAAATCATCTCTAGATTAATTACAATGCCTATTATAATGTACACTCTGTGTAAATAGTCATTATCCTGCACTGTTTAGGAAATGGCGATTAAAAAAAAATTCACATGTCAGGTTAGAATATTTTCAGCCCCAGGTTGGTTGAATCAGTGATGTGGGAAGCACAGATGTGGAGAGCCAGTGAGAAGTGACACCAGTGCAGGAATGACCACTACGGCGAAGACTGTTAAACGATTAATGAGTGAAACCATGAAGCTTGCTCGGAATTTTTCAGAAAAAAAGGTGAAATGCAATGAAAAACAGGAAAACTAAATGAAGACAGGTCATTGATATCACTTCCAGGTCCAGAGCTTATTACCAGCACCTTTTTAGATTTTTCTAAGTAGTAGGTTTTATTGCATTTCTCCATACAGACTCTAGGAAACTTGGGCTCTTGAGTAGTGACATTTTACTGAATAAGAAGGATATAAGGACGGCTTCAGCAGAGTGCGATCCCAGGTTGGTTGACTGGACACAGAGTGCAGTTGCCTCACAGGATACTCAGCTGACTTCATTCAGACTGGGGGTATAAGCTCTTCACTGTTTTGTTTCCTTTATCTAATTATATGTCACCTAAGCCATGTCCGTCCATTGGCCTGGTGATCAGATTAGAGCCATGGGCAAGCGACATTCATGATCACTTACGTGAAGCTTTTTATACCCAAAGTGGTTACTTGCATAAAACACACGGTGGTCCCCTTCAACCTCTGGCTGAAAGATAAGTACCAAATCACTCACAGGGTCTCTAAATTACAGAAGAAAAGTTGGAGATTCCTAGCAGTAAAAGGCAAGAGCAGGAGGGGACACTTCCTGATGAACAACACCATCAGGCACAGAAGAGGTCACCCACCGTCTGAGGGTCTGGCCGTTTCTATATGGACACATTCTTGCCATTGCTTCAAACTCACTGTGTCAAAAGCTTGACCTCCTTCTTTGAATGTGACCTCACTTTGGCTGAACTTCTTTACCCCAGCCCTGCCATCCTCCCTGTTAGTGGGGCTAAAACTTAGTCTTCAGTCCACCTCGCTCCCTTCATTCTCTCAATGTCAAGCACACAAGTCCCACAGGAGATTTTGTGGTGGGAGAGTAAAGACTTTTCAGGGCCAGGAGGTGAATTTCACATGCATGGAAACCAAATTGTGAGCATCGAGCAGGGGGTCTGGGTATGGCACTCACCTAGTTAATGTGAGAGGCACTTCTTGGGCTAAGAAGAGTGACAGTCAATCCAACCAACAGTTCCCGCAGAGATGAGGTCTTTAAATGTCAGACAAACAAAGAGACAAACAGCTTTGCTGGCATCATTTCACAACGGGCTCTCTCTCCTCCTCATTATTATTCCTTGGTGGCCTCAGAAATTACTGCCTTCCAGGGGGGAGCCAGAGCCAGGTAAACACCTAGTTTAACCAAACGTATAATGATCTCTTGTGCCTTTAAAATGTTTTGAACTTTCTCAACGTGTTTTCAAGTGTGAACTTCATGGAGATGGCAAAATTCATTCATTTATATGACACATGTATTTTTAAGCACTTGTAGACCAGCATTCTTGTTGCCAGCATTTCACAGAGTTAAATTGAATCTCAAAAGAGTCTTACAGTCTAGAAAGTCACAGTGTTGGGGCAAAGTGGAGATTTGAGGTTTGTGCTTGGTCCAGGTCATCATTCTAGAACACTAAAGGAGAGCGGAGCAGTAGTGACTTCGGACCCTCTCATCATTTCTTGCAGCCTAGGGCTGAGAAGAGCGTGGAGCCTGGGAGTGGGCTGCTCCTCTTTCGTGCCTGACACAGTATCCTCCACAACCTCTCACAAAGTCACCTCATATCACAGCCCACTTTACCGTTCTCAAACTAGATTCTCTTCCAGCCTCAAATAAAAGACTTGCATTTTGTCTGCTCCCAAAGCATAATCCAGACCCTGTAGCATTCTTGACTATTTTCCATTCTCATATCTCCAGCATTACAGAGGCAGATAAAGGTTTAGAGCCCCTGCTAGATCAGGATCACCCTATTTTTATGAACCGCTAAGGGTGGTTTAGGTATCAAGCACAATGTATAACAGCTCCTTGCTCATTAATAAACCTTCCCCACTGGGATAAGACTGTCGTGAGTCAAGCAGAAGTCAGCAGAGAATCAGGATGAGTTGATGTTTCTTCTCTTCACAGCTATTCACTGAACAGGACCTCTGGGTTACAGAACCCAAAGAGAACTCATTGTGTGCACCTTCTTACCCTTGTATCTCGAAGGCTGGTTTTTACTTCCTGGAAAATCTCTATTTGTTACACACTGTTTTTTAAAATTAATTTCATTGGTACTTTTTTATACAATATGACATTTGCTGTTGGAAATTTGTACCTTACCTCATCCATCAGTCTACTGTTAACCCAGGAAATTTCATCCATGAAAACCAGCTATACTTCTTAAACTGAGCAAAGTGTCCCCAAGTCCCTAGAACTGAACAAAGCAAATTTCCTCTCTACTGCCATAGCAATCTGAAGGCCATGGATATGAGAGATCCTCAGTTTTTTATTGCTGACTTAGACACTACACTGTGGGGTGTCTATCTGTGTGTTTGATATTTCTACCTGAATATCCCACAGGAATTGCAACAAGTACAAAAGAGATGTGTTGCTTCCTCTTTTGTTGTAAGTGTGCACGCACATGTGCACACCACACATATACAAACACATGCACATTCTTAAGATTAAGGATAGCTTGATGTGGTTCTTAAATCAGGAGAGATGGAGAAGACGACTACTTCCTGTCTCTTCCAGGCCCCTGGATACTGAGCAAGTAGACATAGTGGTCTTGTTTCAGATGGAGGGGACAACATAGTAGTTTTTGTAAAGGTGAGGATGATGCCAGACACTTTGAAGGTTGAGAGAGAAATGCTGCATTCAAATCCCCTTAGCCCACCCCCACAGTTTCACTATTCCCACCTTTTACAATTTGTGTATTTTTAAATTAGAACACTCAATTTAAAAACTCAATGATGCCAGAGTAAAGGGAGTACAAACTAAAAGTCCTTCTACATTTCCCACTGCCCTCCTCAGCTCTTCTTCCAACCAAGGAGACAGTCACTGTTCGCAGGGCAGAAGGTTGCATCCAGGATGTTTTTGACTCTTTTGCCTGTCTCACTACCTACATTGAATAATCTGAGCAGTATATGCTCATTCATTTCCTGTAACACACGACGTCCTTCTTTTTAAACAAACCTGTGCTTTTTACTAAAATTTTGAGACAATTACTCATGCTTATATAGATAGCAAAGTTAGAGGTAAGGGGATAAAATGAGAATCAAGACTTGCCATGTAGAGGTACATGATCCCAACAATGAATGTAACTGTACTGTATCCCTAAAATGTACCAATAAACTCAATTAAAGCTGAAAAAAAAGAAATATCTTGGAAAATCAGTAAACAGTATGAAATTCATCAATAAAACTTATAAAATGACATTTTAAAAAAAGTTATTCACTTTAGAGTATTGTAAATATGGAATTGTCACTTTGGTGTGAGAAACTGAAAGTGTAAAGGAGAACCAAAATGTATAATAGATAATGTGAAACAGGAAGCAAAGGTTCAAAGCATAAATGGGAGGGGAAGGAGGAAAAAAATAAGAGAAAAGAAGAAAAAAACAGAAACAAATAGGGAAATGTGGAGGGGTGGAAGAGAGGGAAGGGGAATGGGAAGAAAACAAAAACTAAGATATGTCACGTGCAGGTCCAGATTCCTAATCATGAATGAGACCATAATGTATAACCTAAAGGGTACCAATAAAGTTAATTTTGAAAAGAGAAAGAAGTGCACATAGTTGCACAAAAAAGCTATCCACTTTAGAAAAAATTAAGAAAGATAAACATTTTTGCATCATTTTCAATCATTCATTTATTGTTATTCTCTGTCTTCGAATGTTATAGAATTTCCCATTCTCAGGTTTGTGCTACCTTCTGTCAGTTAAACACTGACTTTATAATTCTCTGCAAGAAGAAAATACTTCTTTGATATAAGCTTCTGGGAAATATTCCTATATTTGAGGAGAAATGATGTTGTAGTTTATGCAGAAAATTAGAAAAGATCTTCCCTATTATATAAAATTCAATGACTGTCTATTGAATTTGAATAATTTTTTAAATGTTAGTTTTATTACTATGTTCTTGCAAAAATTTCTTTTTGAATTTTTTTCTATGTCTCTTTATGCTGTCCTAATACTGTCCAATATTGTGCTTATAAGGTGTTTTGAAAACATTTAGCAGTTTCACTGACAACCAAAGCAGAAGACAAATTTCTTCTCATACGTCGTGCTTTTTGTCATCCATTAATCCCAGTTTGTTGGAACACGAACTGGGTACT